TGATTAAGGATGGAGAGCATTTTTTTCATATATCTGTAGGCCATGTGCCTGTCTTCTTTAGAGAAATTTCTATTCAAGTCCCTTGCCCACCTTGAGATGGGATCGCTTGTTTTTTTTCTTGCTAATACATTTGAGTTCTCTGTGGATTCTGGTTATTAAACCTTTGTGGGCCACATAACCAGCAAATATCTTCTCCCATTCTGAGGGCTGTCTACCAGCTTTATTTACTGTGTTCTTGGCTGTGCAGAAACTTTTTAGTTTGATCTGGTCCCAAAAGTGTATTTTTGACATTGCTTCAATTGCCCAAGGGGTCCTCCTCATAAAATTTTTGCCCAAGCTGATTTCTTCAAGTGTTTTCATTACACTTTCTTCTAGTGTTTTCATAGTTTCAGGTCTCAACTTTAAATCTTTAATTCAGTGAAAGTCTATCTTAGTAATGGTGAAAGGTGTGGGTCTAGTTTCAGTCTTCTACAGGTCACCATCCAGTTAGCCCAGCACCATTTGTTAAATGGGGAATCTTTTCCCCACTCAATATTTTTAATTGGCTTGTCAAAGATCAGATAATGGTAGGTGGCTGGATTCATCTCTTGGCTCTCTATTCTGTTCCATACATCTACCTCTCTGTTTCTGTGCCAGTACCATGCTGTTTTGAGCACTATTGATAGTCTGAGGTCTGGTAACATAATTCCTCCTACTTTGTTTTTGTTCCTGAGTAATGTCTTTTCTATTCAAGGGTTTTTCTGATTACATATAAAATAAAGTATTACACTTTCTAGATACTTAAAGTATGACAGTGAAGCTTTAATGGGGATTGCATTAAAATTATATATTGCTTTGGGTAGTACTGACATTTTAACAATGTTGATTCTTCCCAGCCATGAGCATGGTATGTTTTTCCATTTGTTAACATTTTCAGCTATTTCTTTCCTTAGAGTTTCATAGTTCTCTTTATAGAGATCTTTCACTTCCTTTGTTAGGTAAACTCCCAAATATTTCATCTTCTTTGGTACTACTGTGAACAGGATAGAGTCCTTGACTGTTTTTTCAGCTTGGCTGCTGTTGGTGTATATAAAGGCTACTGAGTTATGAGTGTTGATTTTGTAACCGGAGACGCTACTGTATTCATTGATCACTTCTAAGAGTTTAGTAGTAGAATCCCTGATATTTTTCTGATATACAATCATATCATCTGTGAAAAGTGAAAGTTTAATCTCTTCTGACCCTATATGGATACCCTTCATTGCTTTTTCTTCCCTGATTGCGATAGCTAAAACTTCCATTACAAGCTAGAGCTGATGAGGAATTCAACCCTGGGCAGCAAACAATTAGAATTTACACTCAAGTTTCAATTCCTGCCTCTGCCCGCCCACTGCCTTTGTCTCAGCATTCCCCTGAGAGCAAGGTGCTCATTGGGAAATCTGAGTCCAGTCTAGCAAGGAAGAATTTAGGCTTTGGGAGTTATTGCCATTCCAGCCTCACACTTTCTGTCTGATTTAAATTCTTATGCAAGTTGGAGGCTGCTAGAGCTGGAGAGGAACTCAGCTCTGGGCAGCAAGCAAATTAGAGTTTACACTCAGGTGTCAATTCCAGCCTCTGCCCACCTACTGCCTTTGTCTCACCTAACCCCTGAGGGCTGGTGCTAATGGTCTCTTTACTTACAAAAGTTACCAAGTCCGTTCCACCTGTGGTTGCTGTCTGGAACCTGTGGTTGCCCAGAGAGACAGGGCTCACCTAGCTGGAATGCCATCAGTTCACAGCTCAGGATGCCACTGTTGCTGTATGGCTTCCTCTGAGCCAATTTTGTTCTCCTCACTCCTGTGCCACAGTCAGCACAGAGCAGCAACAGCCCTTTTCCCTTCCACTTCTCTCAAGGAGATGCCCAAGAATCTAGACTCTGTAGGTAATAAACCTCCAGACCTCAGGGTGAGGTGGGAGGGGGAATCCTCAGAGTTCAATGTTGCAGGTAGGGAATATATATAGTTTTATACAGTTTTACAGGTTTATGCCTGGCAGGAGGGTGCCATGGCACACCAGCAGGGTAGGAGGTCCAGTTGTTAGGGGTCTCTCTGGTCGTATAGAGTGGGAGGATGTTTGAACTCTGCTCGCTTGTTTGCATGGAGTAAACTGTGAGCCCTACTTGTGGGGGAGGGGACTCCTGTCCACTTGGTGGTGGATTTTGTACATTTTGATTGTGTTTTTCAGGTCTCAGCTTGCCTCAGGAAGGTTGAAGTGCACTCTATAATCTCTCTTGGCTCTGCTCTAAACCATCAGCTCCCTTGCTAAACTTCTGTCCTTTAAGCCTCCTTCTGGACAGGAGCTTCCATAAAAAGCTGGCTGCAGTCTTCCATCTTGGCTCCGCCATCCTTTGCCTTTTTTTTTTTTTTTTTTTTTACTGTACTTTAAATCCACTTGTATCTGAAAATAAAATGGTAACCCCTCTTTTCTTCTGGATTTCATTTGCCTGATAAATTGTCTTCTCTCCCTTAACTCTGAGTTTTAATTTGTCTTTTGTGGCTAAGTGTGTTTTCTGCAGACAGCAAATGGATGGCTTCTATTTTTTTTTTTTTAATCCATTCAGCCAGTCTATGCCTTTTCAGTGGGGAATTCAAGCCATTCACATTTATTGAGAGCATTCATAAGTGTGGTGGCTCCCTAGTCATCTTATCTTGTGAAAGTCCATTGTTTATTTTTATCATTTGCATCCTTATGGAAGATAGGTTTTGTCTTTTAGTTTCTGAGTGCTTACTTTGCTGGGGGTCCATTTTGATGGTCAGTGTGTAGAACAGTTTGAAGTATTTCCTGTAGAGTGTTATTCAACTCTGGGATTCTAGGCATCCTGTTGTGTATGAAGTATTCTGTAGTACTAATCTCAGTATGGTTTAGATTTATAACAAATGGCAAAAATCTATTTATGTGCTTATTGGCCATTTCAATATCTTCAGTGGAAAAATGGCTATACAGAGCCTTTGCCTACTTCAATTATTAGTTACCCAGATTGCCTTTTTCATTATTCAATTGTAAGTTTTCTCATCACTTGTTCAAGATTATAGCCTTTATTAGATATATTATATACAAGAATATTATTGTATTCTTGAATTGTCTTTTCACTCTCATTGTAGTGTCCTTGGAATTATAAAAGTTTTAAGTTTTGAAATAGTTTAATCTACTTATGATTTGTTGCTCATATTTTGTGTCATATCCAAGACTTAATTATAAAATCTCAAATTTTGAATATTTGAAAACAGGGTTTTCTTCTAAGAGTTTTATGCTTTTCCCTATTTAATTTATGATTTTTTTATTTTTAAGAGTTTCTGATTTCATTCTTTTGAATATGACTATCCTATTGTTCATTGTTGGTGGCTAATCATTCGTTGAAGTGATTACTCTTTCCCTCAATGAATGACTAGTATTCTTGTCAAAAATACATTTTTCAAAAAAAAACTGCAAACAACAATTTTTAAAAAATACTTTTTTCCACAAACACGTGGATTATTTCTAGATTCTCGTTCCCAGGCATAGACCTTTCCCAATTTAATTGTTTGCACTGATCCCCTGATGATTTCCTCTGCATTAGGGCCTGCAACATTAGGATCTCAAAACTTCCCAGAATTCTTCAGAGGCAGGTCTCACCTTGCCCCCGGACAACAGTTCCCGTGGGGTGCAATAGTCCCTGAGCCCATCATGATTGGACATACTATCCCAACAGGTGGAACTAAGAAGACTGTGTCCCTGTAGGAGGCCCACACTGGCCATCCCCAGGCTGCCAAGCCCTTCCAAGTATGGCCTTCTCTGTTGCCACCAAACTGGGGGCATATCTGCTGGGATCAGCCTACACAACTGGCTGTCATATCCTGTTTAGATACACCCACTCTTCTAGGCTATCCTCTCAAAGGGCTTCCTCCTATCCCAGACCTCTGTGGAGGGGCCGTTCATTCCCGTTTGCAGAAAACTTGCCTAGTGTGTCACAACTCTGTTGCTCCAGATCATGGACTGTGTTCAGGCCCTTGCCACCTTGCTGTACACCCAAGCCACAGCACCAGGCAATAACTCCTCACCAGGAACAACTTAGTGTTCTTCCATTTCTAAGTTGTACTAGCAGCACTGTGCCAAATGGACTTTCTGGTCTGACATTGTGCTCTGCCCCACATTTAAAACTCTTGACTATAAATTCATAATATCAAAATATATAATAACAATTATATAATATAATGTTATTCATACATCATGAGTGCTGGTTGGAATTCCCAATTGACTACTGCTAAACCAAGTATAAATATTCAAAGGCCTAATTTATAGTGATTTATTATGTTTGACCACTTTCGTGGGTATATTTACCCTAGCAGTGTTACGTGTGACAGAAGTAATCAAAGACTTGGAAAGATGTTTAAAATGTTAATTTTGGGGGGAAATGGTTTTATTTCTTTAAGGCTGAAATTTTAATATCATCCTTTAAATTAGAGGTATTGATTCTTAATGCTCCAAATGAGAGCAAGGGCCCTGATCTTAGAAGAACCTTAAAATATAACAACCTTTGTGCTCAACTCTTCTTTCCATTCTATTTATCTTTTTAATCACTTGACAGCAAAGCAAGAACATGATTGTTCTAACTGAAGACCAACCCAGTGAAAGTGTTGTTGAGCTATAGGAATGGCCTAGCCTTTTTGTTTCTACTTAATTTCTTTCTTCTTTCACTTGCACTGGTGATTCTGTCACCTGGGAGACAGAACCACTTAACACATTGATTCTGAGAAACCTACCCCAATCAAACTAGATTAAGGAGAAAACAACTTAAGAGGCCCATAGAAGAAGAAGAAAGGAGTACAGTCCCTTAAATATTGATAACACAAGTCAGTAATTTTAGTCTTCCCAAGAATAAACTGAAGCCTCAAATGTTAGAAGCCTTTTATTGAACATCATGCTGAAGGCCAAGAGACCATGTAACTTTCCAAGAGTCTTCTTGCAGTCTGACACTTTGAGTCATCCCCTGTGCTTAGGGATCTTTAAAAGCATCTTCTCTGAACTACAGATGCACCAAACTCCTTGAAATCTTCAGAAGTGACCCACATCTGCTTGAAAGAGCTTACAGAGGTCATTATGGATGCACCAATCCATGCAGAAAAACATCTATCTTGAGAAGTCATGATCTTGATGGGTGTTCCTTTGGAAACCTGTTGATCTAGTTCTTTTGTGAGCCTTTCCTTCAGTCCAGGAATAAGTGTGGTTCCCCCACAGAGTACAATGTCTGCAAAAACGTTCTTCTGTATATCACCAGGACACTTCATAATGCTGCTGGAGACCATTGTTGAGAGTCCTGGACTCTGGCTGCCTAGCTGGTCAGGTGCAAAGAGAACCTCTGGTGCTTGGTATAATTGGTGGTCAATGTGGATGACATTCCCATCGGGAAGTCTGTATTCTCGAAAGACTTCCTTAGGTGGCTTGCATAGCTCTTTCTCTGGCTCCAAAGAAACATAACACAGCTTCTCTTTAATATCATTCACCAAGGCCTTGTTCAGTGTGCGAGGAAAAATACATGCTCTCGGAAAGAGGAGTTGGATGAGGTGCTCCGTGATGTCCCTCCCTGCCACATAGAGCTGGGTGACTGCATGAGGCAGGGC